GTGGGAGCTGGCGTAGAGCAGCAGGGCCGGACTCTGGCTGGTCCTGAAGCTCAGGGACACGTTCTCCCCCCTCAGGGACCCGTCGGGGGGGACGGAGGAGGGCGGGGCGCTGCCGTTTCCGCCCGGCTCAACGGGATCTGGGAAGGTGTAGCGGACCGAGGTTCCCGGCTTGAAGCTGGCCGACACCTCTGGAGACAAATCAAAGGTTAAGGTTCCAAAAAACAGAGAAAAAATACTAGTTCGGTGAGGAGTTATATCCACCAGACCTGTTAATTTTAATCTATTCAGTCCCAACAACAGCCTGATCTTTGAATTCCCACTTTCAGCTCGTTCATCATTAAAGCCTCTTATCCTTCAAACAAATATTGTTCTGACTGCTTTCTTCTGCAGGTTAGTCACTGACTTAGTAGGAGCACTTCAAAGAAGCAGGGAAAAGTCATAAAATCCCTGGGAGATGTTGTGGTCCGTCCCGTGTGGCGCCTCCATTATTCCACAGGGACGACTCCCATTGCTGGAAATGGGCCAGAGCTCCTCTGAAGGCGCTCTTTAATCAGCGTTTCTCCTCAAGCCCCGGGCCAGACTTATATAACGCTCGTTATGTTCTCGTTCCAAACACCCGGGATGTTTTTTTTTTAATTCAGTCATTCCAAAACAAGAGGCAGCTTTTTGACAAAGTCGCACAAAAAGTACCAACAGGATTCTCCATCTGATCTGATTTCTGTCTGTGTCACGTAGGTGGGTTCTTGAGGGAGGACTCAGGTGCGGAGATGAGGGGAATACAAGGTTTATTGCAACAAAAAACACTCTTGAAGAGTGAATGTCCAGACAAAGTACAAATCAAGACTGTGGAAAACTGTGAGCAAAAGGCAAAGTAACAAAATAAAGAATAACAAGACTGAGGCAAAACTATGACAAAGTAACAAAATAAATATTAACAAGACTGTGACAAAGCTGTGGTAAAAACTGTGACTATGACAAAAAGCAAACCTGGCGTGGGGGTGACGAAAGACGGAACGGACAAGAGACGAAAACGCACTCGCACAAGACAAGGGGAAACGAGGACTATTTAAACACATGAGGGAGGGGAACCCCAGGTGTACACAATAGGTAATCAAGACATGACAACACACCAGACGTGACAGTCTGTAGTTCTGCTGCTATGTGCACGTTTCAGGTGAGTCTTCCGTCAGACTTCGTGGACCTCTACGGAGCGTTTTTCTGCTGGCGTACCTGTGCTGCAGAAGAAGACTATCCTGAAACGTGCTCATAGCAGCAGAACTACAGACAGATATTAGATCAGGTGGAGAAGAATGGACGCTGCGAAACTAAAGCTCAGCATGGAGAGAAGCTCTGAGGAGTCACAGTTTGGAAAGGGTTTCAATTTCCCCAAAAGACTAAACATTCTTCCCCTGTTCAGCATTAAGGCAGCAGAACTGAAATCTGAGTACCGTGCTATGCTGAACAAAATTGCTTTGCAAAGGGAGGCTTTGTTAGTTAGAGGCCCCCCTTGATTACCCAAAACTTTGCTTTATTTATTCATTTTTTTAAAAGATTTTTTGGGCTCTAGTGGCCTTTAATGACAGTAGCTTGACAGGAAAGGGGGCAGAGATAGAGAGGGGGAGACCTGCGGGAAAGGGCCATGGGCTGGATTCGAACCCAGGCCGCCCGCTCGCGAGCGGAGGCTCTGCATATGGGCCACCCGCTCTAGCCATTAGTCTACGGCTGCGGCCCTATTTATTCATTTTTTATACCAAACTTACATGCGTACCTGTGCTGCAGAAGGCCCCGGAATTTTGGGGGAAATTGAAAGCCTTTCCAAAGTGTGACTCCTCAGAGCTCTAACTGTAAAGTGATTGAATAAAATCATATTCTATGTCATTAAAACTGAGGTTTAGTAACAAGACTTCTCTATCGGGGAGATGAAGGAGAAGTCTAAGACTAATCCGCGGATATCTTAACGTTTAGCGGCTCTCCATGCTGAGCTTTAGTTTCACAGCTTCCATTCTTCTCCATCTGATCTGATTTCTGTCTGTAGTTCTGCTGCTATGTGCACGTTTCAGGCTAGTCTTCCGTCAGACTTTGCGGACCTCTACAGAGCGTTTTCCCGCTGGCGTACCTGTGCTGCAGAAGGCCCCGGCGTAGGGCGTTTGGCTGCAGTCGCAGTGGAAGCCGCGACTGAAGACTAGCCTGAAACGTGCTCATAGCAGCAGAACTACAGACAGATATTAGATCAGGTGGAGAAGAATGGAAGCTGCGAAACTAAAGCTCGGCATGGAGAGGAGCTCTGAGGAGTCACACTTTGGAAAGGGTTTCAATTTCCAAAAAAGACTAAACATTCTTTTTTTTTCCTTTTTACCTTGTCCTGTTCAGCATTAAGGCAGCAGAACTGAAATTTGAGTACCGTCTTATCCATCCATCCATTATCAATACCGCTTATTCCCTGATGGGGTCGCGGGGGGAACTGGAGTCTATCCCAGTGGTCAACGGGCGAGAGGCAGGGTACACCCTGGACACTCCGCCAGTCCATCGCAGGGCCACACAGAGACACACAAGGACCAACAAGCACTCACACTCACATTCACTCCTAAGGGCAATTTCCCCAATCTCCAATCAACCTAACATGCAGGTTTTTGGACTGTGTGAGGAAGCCGGAGAACCCGGAGAGAACCCACAGACACAGGAGAACATGCAGACTCCACCCAGAAGGGTCCTGGTTCCCTCGGGATTCAAACCCAGAACCCTCTTGCTGGGAGGTGACAGTGCTAACCACCACACCACCGTGTCGCCCGAGTACCGTCTTATGCTGAACAAAATTGCTTTGCAAAGGGAGGCTTTGTTAGTGAGAAGCCCCCCCTTGATTACCCAAAACGTTGCTTTATTTATTCATTTTTTATACCAAACTTAGGTGCGTACCTGTGCTGCAGAAGGCCCCGGCGTAGGGCGTGTGGCTGCAGTCGCAGTGGAAGCCGCTGGCCCTCTCCAGGCAGCGCGCCTGGTGCCGGCACAGCCCCCCGTAGCTGCTGCAGTGGCCGGGGCAGCCCGCCCGCACCCCCGGCGTGACCCGGGCCCGCTGCTCCAGGTCCAGCGGGGCGCCGTTCAGCTGCAGGGAGCGGATGCAGCCCCGGAAACCCTTCTGCCGGGACGCCGTGCCCCCTGGAAGACAAAGGAAAAACTCCAGCTGAACACACCATGTTCTCATGTCCGCCTGGGCTGAAATGGAAAAATCCCGAGCCTGTAAGTTCCTCCTATGTAAAAAAAAATAGCAGAAAAATCAGTTTATTTGTCTGTGGTTCTCCGCCCTGAAAGAAACAGTTCGGCTTCTTTAACCCTGTAATGCAAAATGTGTCATATTTGATACGTAGGGTTTTTTAAATGTTTTGCGTCTGACTCCTTTTGCATCATTTAATGGTAAAAACTTTGCTCAAAATCCGGGTTCCTTCACCAGGGGGACACCGTTCCCCTTGGTGAAGAAACAGTTCGAGGGGGGTCCTCAAGAGCTTCTGGGAAATATATTCAAGCATGAACCCTTTCAGGGTTATTTAGATCTGTAAAATGACTGTACTTTCCAATTAAAAGGTTAACGATGACAGATTTAGACTTAATTTAAAGCTTTTCTTGAGCCATTTGGAGCTGAGTCATGGTTGAAAGTGGAAAACAAACTTTCAGAGAATCCAGGATCTCAAGATTGTTACAAGAATAAAGACTTTTTTATCTCTTTTTTCCAGAAGCTGCTTCTAGACAGACACATTTTGGCCTA